GGTGTATTTTCACACCACATTCATCAATACTGAAAAAGTGCATGTGGATAACTTTTTTTTTTTTAATTTCCACTGTCTGTCCATAGTAAATGCTCACTGAATACTTGTTGAAGAAAGATAGGAAAGAGAAAAGGAGGGGGAGGAAGAAAAGAAGAAAAATGAGAAAAAGAACCAAAAAGGAATCCCATATTTTATCCTTGTTTTCCCTTCTTTTCTTATAATTGTGCATTCTTACTGATGGAGTTCCCCAAGAGCTGTTAGCCTAATAATAATTTTAATACATTTTAATCCTCAAAACAATCTTGCAAACATAGGTAACACTATTTTACATATACAAAAACCAAGGCTCAGGAGAATTCACAAAATTTTTTAATTCTTTTAGATATCTCTAGCCCAGTGGCCAAGATGATTAATTCTTTGCACATCAGTAAACAAACTTGATTCTAAGACTTAACCTCAGGCAAAATAATTGCTTGACAAATTTTTGTTAATTGGGTGACCATGTGGACTGCAGCTGGGAGACGAAATTTACATTTTAAGAAATGGTGAAAAATATCCGAGCTATGTGAAGACACTTGACGAATGCCAGTTAAAGATAAGAAAAAATGAAACATAAACAATCATACCCTACACGGTGACAGATGTGCTATTTCAAATGTGAATGTTGCGAATATACACTTTTCGGCCTACTAGATAATTGCATGAGCACCTAGATAATTGCATGAGCACCGTACTGTGATAGCCTTATTATATTGTACATTAGACAGACATAGTATCTATTCACAAAAAGTTTCATCTCTAAGGATAATTAACAACACATTTCATACATTATATTGAGCTTTCTCCTGCAGCTTTGCAAATATGTGTGAAGGGAAGAGATATTGCAATTATAATTTCTTTTCCATTTCAAAATTCAGTAATTTATAAAACTTTCTGGATTATCTCATTATTCCAAATGACTAAGAAGACTCTCCAAAAGGTATCTCTTTTATTTTTCCTAACTCTCTTGCCCCATTGTTTTCAATCAGCCTATGAAAAAAATGTATATATGTAAGCCAGCCAGCCAAATTTTACACATTTTCTAAAGGGTAGCCGTTAGTGAGTTACTCGATGTCAAATGAAGACATCAAAACCTGTCTACAATGGTACTGTCACTTACATATATTTTTCAGTAAAAATATTCCATACATTGAAAATCTTCCCATGTGAAATATAAAGTTTTGAAATTTTTAAATTATGGTACAAACTGTTTTCATTCATCTTATTTATTACAAGCTCGCCTAGTGCTTGTATATTTTATAATTCTAAGTAAAAATTACTGATCAATTTTGTGTACTTAATTTTTTTCCCATTAAACTCATTCTAGATACAGGCATTTTCCCCCCAAGCTGACTCTTCTAAATTATGTTTTAATTAAAATGAAATGAAGATCTGTAAATTTGCAGTTGGTGATAGGTTTAATCTCTATTTCAGATTATATCTCAAATATTGACATTTATTTCTAAATCACTGCTTTGTTTCTGATCTACCATAACTTTTACAATGCATTTGCCATTTCATATCAATTATACAAGCAGCATTTCAGTTTCCACAAACTCTCAACTACTATTGCACAAGGATTTTGGGAAAAAAATAATACTAACGCTCACCTCTCCATAGCTCATTTGAGGAGAATACTATCTAAGTTTGTTCCTAATGCAAGATTTAATTTAATCTTGATTTCCCATCAAATGTACAGGGATTTTACAATATAGTTCATAATCGTGTTTAATTTCTCCAGGGTACAAGTCAAGATAAACAAGTCACTGACAGTGTTTATCTATAAATATAGCAGATGGTGTAGGACTGAGATTAGTTATCAACTTTGCCGACTTTAATTTCATGGTTATAAAATGCTGTAAACCTCACTGTTTATAAAAGGCAGGGAAGGAACCCCAGTGGGCCTCAGTAGCCAAGAAACCCTGAGTAACATTAATCTCTCTAACTGATATTCGGTATCCTCCTAGGGTGCAATATTTAAGATTGTGGAGTGATTGCTAGACGCATTTAAATTTTCACTGGGATCATTAGCTAACATTTCTGTCGTTGATCTACTATAACTTTGTTAATGAGTTCCATGTGAGAGGAATTTAGTAAATGAGATGATTCTTTCTAAACTGCTAGGTGAATGTTTAGCAATCACTTAAGGCAGTTACATATCTTTAAAGAAGGCCTTTTTTTAAAAAAAAAATAATTTTTTTCTTTTGCAAAGATGAATTGTGATACCCAACTAGACTAAATGCACTTAGGGATAAAATTTCGTAAGGAAAAACTATAGCATCATTTAAATAATTAATTATCTAATATATATTTAGGCTATAAATCTAGCTACAACTTTTTTTTTAAGGCCATAGGACTTAAAAAGAAGTAAAGCTATTGATTCTTCATATTCTGAATTGATTTAAATATATAATTTTATTTTGATTATTTGTTTTGCTGAAAGTCTATATAATCAACGTGATTAAAATTAATTTTTAAAGGACCCCTTATTTTAAAAGTATTATTTAAAATTTCTCAATTTTTTTCATTTCAACTTTATAGTGAATAAAAAATTATTTTACAGTTACAAAAGTAAAAATAATTCACAAATTAGATCTTTTGAGACAGAGTCTCACTCTGTTGCCAGGCTGGAGTGCAGTGGTGCAATCTGGGCTCATTGCAACCTCTGCCTCCTGGGTTCAAGACAGTTGTCTTGCCTCAGCCTCCAGAGTAGTTGGTATTACAGGCGTGCACCACCATGCATGGCTAATTTTTGTATTTTCAGTAGAGACGGGGTTTCACCATGTTGGTCATGATGGTCTCAATCTCTTGACCTCATGATTCACTGGCCTCACTCAGCTTCCCAAAGTGACTTTTACATTCTTAAGTGGTTTATTTTTCATACTAAGAAGAAAAGGCTTTTTTTTTTTTTCTAGAGTCAGGGTCTTGCTCTTTCACCCAGGCTGGACTGTAGTAGCTTGCCCACTCCTGGATTCACGTGATCCTCACACCTCAGCCTCCAGAGAATTTAGGACTATAGGTGTGCACCACTATGCCCAGCTAATCTTTAAATGTTTTAGAGATGGGATCTTGCTGTGTTGGCCAGTCTGGCCTCAAACTCCTGGGCTCAAATGATCTTCCTACCTTAGCCTTCCAATGTGCCAGTATTGTAGAGACCAGCCATGGTGGAGGCTTTTTAAATACATGATAATCCTATATGCAAGTTGGAGACTAAAACTATTTCACTAAAAAAAATGGCTTAACTGTATTTGAGTTCAGACCGCCTGAGAATGAGTTTTCTAACGACAAAATCCTTGGTTACTTTTTTGGTCTTATATTGGGCTGCTTCTCTCTGACCTACTCTGGGAGGTTTATTACTGTTCTGAAACTCCAACCCATCTGTCTACTGATTATTGTTAACATAGTGCTCAAATCTTGGCTCCCAGTAAGCTGTCTTCTGAACACCAGCAGCCCTGGGTGAAGAGATTACTGAATGGAACATTTGGTAATACAATCATGTACCTCATAAGGACATTTTATTCAACAACAGACTATACTTCACTGGTCCCATAAGATTATAATACCGTATTTGTATAGTATCTCTTCTATGGTTAGATGTTTAAATACACAAATACTTACCATTGCATTAAAGTTGCCTACAGTATTTAGTCCAATAACACACACTGCACATGTTTGCAGTCTAAGAGCAAAGACTGTATTGTATAGCCTAGGCCTGTGGTAGGTTATATCATCCAGGTTTGTGTAAGAATACTCTGTGATGTTCAGGCAAGGACAAAATTGCCTAACCATGCATTCCTCAGCACATATCCCCACATTAAGCAATGCATGACTGTAGATTTTCTTATCTCCCTTCCTGCTCAGAACCTGTTGTCACCAGTTTTCACTGGATGTAAAATCCCACTGTTTGATGCATTCACTTTTGTAAACAACTACTCTACTCAGAGTCAGGTCTCAAAAATGCATAAAACATCTGTAACAAAAGACAGCAAAACTTCTCTAAAGTGGAAGCTTTATCTCATTTTTCTTACTGGCTCAACGCCAACTTTAATGTTCATTACATAAATTGGTTGCTAAACTGTTGGTATGTTTGACATTCATATTTGTATCCAATTAAGTAAAAACTAGCAGTGATTTCACTTTAAAGTTATCGATAAAAAATCACCTAAAAGAGGCCTATCAGTTAATTTTAACAATTGCATCTTTCTGTCCTTAAAGTAGAAAAGCCAGAGAAATGGCAGCCTGTACAGGGAAGGATTTCTTTTTATGGCCTGGCTATTCTGAAGCATGATTTCTAGAGTTGTGAGGCTATTGGAAACTGGTTGGAATGTATTTCTCAGAAACATGGCCAAGAAGACTAGCACCTCAGAATGGGCAGGATTGCTCTGAAGGGAGGCGAAATAGGTAACAGGAGAAACTGAAGGTTTAGCTAATGGAGAGAAAAAGAAAAAGAGACAGAACAGGGGAAAGAAGCAAAACTAGGATTCCAGTATCTGAGTGTAGCGGTTCATGGAGAGACTGGTTTAGAAACTATCTTTTATGGGAATTTACATACACAGTAGATCTGAGGAAAATGGAATATTCTTAAAAGCACATTACAACAATCACTGTCGTAAAGAAAGGATCTTTTTCAATTTCCCAAAGGATGGTCTAAACTGACTATCTTTTATTTTTCTTGTCTGTATATAAGATACAATGAGTTATGTTATGAAATAGAGTCATTGTACTAATCTTGGTTGTAAAAAAAAAAAGTCTTATATAGGGAAATCATCTGATTAAAAAAGGAAAATCAAGCTATTAAAATTTAAGAACATTGTTTCTAGTTTTATTCAAATCTAACAGATTAAAATAATGTAATAGAAATAAATTGCTGCCTTATAAGATAAAGCAAATTGTAACCCATACAATGAAAATAATGTATGATATGTAAATACTTTCATCTCATTTTTATGATTTTATTTCAGATTATCCAATCTTGTCTAATGTCAAAGGCATGACATTGTATACAAGAAAACATGGAAAGAAAATAACTTTAACTGGATTTCATTCCCCCTTCAATGGTCAGTTAAAAATCAGTCCTTTATCATATTTATATTATTTATTTCCTCTAAAAATCCGTGCTTATTTTTTTTTTAATCTGTTTTGTTTGTTTGTTTTACTAGGAGAAGTAATCTATGCTGCCATGTGCATGACAGTCACCTGTGGAATCCTTCTCTTGGTTATGGTCAAGCTTAGGTAACTGAATATAAATCAGAAGGAAAGGGCTGAAAGGGAGTCACTTAGCTGTGTTAAAGCATGTTGCACGATGGCTGAGCTTACAAAAAGCCTGAGAATGAAAGCTTCTCTGTTAAGACATACTAAATCAAGTTTTATGTGGCATAGGTCCATGGAAACGTTACTTTCAGTCTTCATACGTAAGGGAAATGTGATCGTAGGAGATGTTTTTATGTTGCGTTTAATAAGCACATATGTACTGTATGTTCCCTCCAATTAAGCTCTTATCAGTCTTTCCCCTTGGCTTCCCTACCAAATCCAAACTGAACTTTGCTGCATTCATTATCCAAATTATTTGCATGATTGATAGACTCACATAACTGACCTGTTGTTTACTGCGTACAGTTTATATTTACCCAAAGATGTATTCTTTACTCGAATTTCTTAGATGCTAATACATTCTGTTTTTAATAGGCAATTATTGAAAGAGACATTTAATAAGGCCGCACAGAGTGCATTAGAAAGACATTACTGTTGCCTGACGTTAATTTATTCTCCAAATCTTGGCTGCTTTTATTGCTGGAATGTAGTAATGCTCCAGCAGGCATGTGAGACATTGAGAAGAGATATACATCAACCTCTAGATTTCTAAATGTCTAGGGTTTAAAATTTTTCCACTTATTTGGCATTTACAACTATACATAAAGGAGTGTGGACTCGCCTTTAATTAAAAAAACAAAAACCTCATATTTAAAGATCAATCATGTCCTATTCTTTATACATATGAGTACATGTCTGTAAAATTTGAGTGCATACATATTAATGAAGAAATATACATAAGTGTGTATAAGGCCATATATACTTGAAAGTACATACACAAACTATATTCTATCAGTAAGACTGGGCCTTCAGAGGAACAGAAGTATTCATTGGAGATTTACCTCATGACATTTGACACCTAGAAAGATTGATTCAGCCAACTTATGCAATGCACGTTAACATATCTTGCTCCTCCAGAGATCTCAGACTTAAAAAAGCCTTGACAATCAGGCAAATAAAAGACTGACATGAGAAGTTGTATGGTGAAACCAAGAGGTCAGGTACATACAAACATCCTAATTTATCTATTTTTAAATGCAGTGCCAGCTAAACAAAATGTATCCACTGTTTGGATCCAACCCCTCTAAGCATTTAATTTGATGTTAATTGAAACCAGTACTAAAACACACCTTTTCTCCAAGGCCTTAAGAGGTATATTTGTATGAGAAGATATTTCTTGGGTTCTAAGATATGGTTTGAAAGCCAAATAATTGGAGTCCATTACTAAGAGGGAAAAATGGCATTAGAAATTTAAGTCCTGGAGAACACTGTTTAGTTACTATGCCTGCCTAGATATTCCATGACAAACAATGTTTCAAAGAAATATGGACAGTTTTCTGGCCTACCAAAAATCTACCCTTAATGGTTCTCAATCTCTGCTTCTTAACTACATACAGAATGTGTAAAGTTTCCACCTGTTCCATTATCCCATTGGTTTTTACATATTACAGTTGTGCTACAGATAAATAAGGTATAGACTGACTACTCATAATTCCCTATTTATTCACTGTAACTTCATCTCCTCACCTGCTTAGGAGACATATTCCTTTTTTAGATGGCATTGGGGGTGTTATTATGGATAAATATTTTGAATTTATTCTAATGTGTATTTTAAAGCAAATTATTTGTACAATTAAATATATTTGTATTTAGTTACAAATTATTTCCTTATAATTTAAAATTTATCATAATGTGTAATCTGAAAACTCCAGACCTAAGGTAAAAGAGACCAAAGTTAAAGCCATGATAAAAAGTACAAACTGAAACACAAGCATCTTTGGCAACAAAATCTGTGTTGCCCACACCTGGACAATAGTGCCCCCTAATGAAAGAAGGATGGTTGCTATTTCAGACATTGTGCACTCACCTGATAGGCCTAATCTATGTGAATACCTGTTTTCTGTAAAGAATAAGATACTTGCATTTGTTTCATTTCATGCTATGTTAAAACAACGATAAGCCTTCAAAGAAGTTTGAAAAGAAACAACTAAAATTGTAAATATTTGTGGGGAAAAAAAAGGCCTTTAAAAAACGATTACTTGGACATTATAGAGGTGTGATGCTCCTTAGAAAGGCCATATACTATTTTACTATTAGGACTTTACATTCTACAACTTAATTAATTTTTTCCTCCAGGTACAGACTCCAGCTAAAAGATTTGTGAAATCCTGAACATGGCATGTTGTTAACTTTTACTTTTACTTTTATACAGAACTTCCAGAGTATCGAATAAAACAAGAGATCCTTCACCGATCCAAATACCTGGAGAACTCTGATTCATTAGGAGTTATGGACCCATAACAATCACTTTCTTTTTCTTTTACGTTTTTGGGTGGGGGGAGTTTCACCCTTGTTGCCTAGGCTGACGTGCAGTGGTGTGGTCTCGGCTCACTGCAACCTTTGCCTCCCTGGTTCAAGAAATTCTCCTGCCTCAGCCTCCAGCGTAGCTGGGATTACAAATGCCAGCCACTATGCCTTGCTAATTTATTGTATATTTAGTAAAGATGGGGTTTTGCCATATTGGCCAGGCTGGTCTTGAACTCCTGACATCGGGTGATCTGCCCATCTCAGCCTCCCAAATTGCTGGGATTGCAGGCATGAGCAACTGAGCCGAGCCAACAATCACTTTCTTTAAAGCAAATCCAACAGCTGATCAACACACTATTCCATCTAACATCGAGAAGGCAAATGATAAAATATTGGTTTAAAATATTTTGGTTTATTGAAAACATTGATTTATTAAAATTAAAATATTAGTTTTAATTTTTAATATTGGTTTATTAAGTATAATATGGCATGATGATGTTACTTTTTTCTTAATACTCAAGAAAAAAATATACGGTGGTATCTTTTACAACACTGGAATAGAAATAAAGTTACCCTTGAAGGCAAACAGTGTTATCTCAAGTCACATTTTGCATAATTTGCTTTATGATTAATATAAACTCATATTAATTAGTTGCATACTAATATGATATAGTTAGCAGGTTTTCTGATCAATTACATAAGTTCCCATTAACTTGCCAAAAAGAAAATGTTAATACATATATCCAGTTTCTGTGTTATTTGTATATTTTGAACAATTTGAAATCAGTCACTAGCGTATTAGCATTGACTTTGACTTCCTACATATATCTGATTAAATGAAAATGTTATAAAATTGGAAGTGACACGTTTGAATTTTGTCATTTGAATACTGTTGACTTTTATGTTTTGAGTTTGATATCTCCATTTTACTCTTATAAAATGTAAAACAACTACACTGGGTTAAACAAAGTCAATGTGTACTACAATAATGATAGATTTTCGTGAATTAAATCTTTCTAGGCTAACTTCTACAATAATAAAGTAACATCATCATTGTTACTTTCTATAATATTCCTGTACTGTAACTTTTGGCCTGGTTTGACGTCAGAGTGTAACTGTGATTAGAAAATTGTAGAAAATGTGTTTATTAGGTAGAATTTTAATACTTATTTTCAATCATCTACAATTATACTGGTACATACTCAGAATAGCCATGAGGTTGCATTATCTATAGTGGCACAGAGGCACAAATATCCAATAACCGGAAGATATTATAATAACTGTGGCATATTTACAATTAAAATTTAAATGGTTTCTGCTCATTTGGTCTCATTTCTATGCTATTCACTACACTTCAGATTAAACTGTCTACATTAAATTAAATTTGAAGTTAACATTTGACTATGTTTACTCGACGTAATTGAGAAGCTATCGTTTATCTTTTAAAACAGGGAAGAATAATTTGATGAGTCACAGATGTCTGTCAAGGAGTTCTGTATATTCTAGTGGCTATGCAGAGTACTAAAGTGAAGAGAATGCAGGGATTTCCATCTCCCGATCACTGCCATTTAACTTAGGCGTGGTAATGTCTGCGAATGTGCACACTGTTCTATGGAAAACTGAGAAAAGAAGCCAAGTTGCTTCTAGAAACATGCTTGTGTTGAGCAGAGAAGGGGAGAACAGACTGTAAAAGGGATGGCATCCCTAGGAAACGGAATCTTGTTTCTTGGAACAACAAGAATAAGTAGGCAGAACCTCAGAAGAGGGAATCAGCATGAAGAATTGAGGGCACACTAAATAGTCGCCCTTCTCTAGAGCAGAGTCCAAATTGAGAAAGTGTAGGGCATACAGCTAGTAGACATCAGGACTAAGACACTGAGATACAAGGCTAAAGAGACACTATAAGTGTAAAGTGTGGGCCTCTTAGGACATGGTCCCCATCTTCATTGTCTTTCACTCTTCAGTCCTCTGGGAAGCCTTTCCTAACTTGTCCTTCCCTGTAGGTCAAGGATCCTTATTCAGTGCTTCCCAGCACCCAGTGCTCACCCATCTTAGACTGCTACACTTCACTGCCATGGCTTCATTTATTATTTTTGCTTAGCAACTTAAAAGCACCCCGACTGAGTCTGTTTGCTCATCTTTGTTTTCTATTCCTTAGCACACAGTATATGCTCAATAAATAAGTGTACAGTGACAGAGTTGCTTCCTTTGGAATGCCACAAAGTGCTGCAAAATAATTTTAAGCAGATTTTTGAATTAAAAAGTTATGCTAGCAGATATAGAAATGGTAGACTAGAGATTAAAACTGATGTTGAAAAGACTGCTTAAAAATGCACTAAAATAGCTAACACATTATTGGAAGCACTAATTTATTGCACTAAGTTATTCATTCAACACTTACTTATTGAGCATATACTATGTATCAGTCACTGTACTAGGAACTGGAGATACAATCCTGAGCACAGTCTTCTAGGAAATTTGAAAAACAAAGTAAACAAGGTAATTTTTGAAAGTGAGAGATGCCATAAAGAAGTGAACAGGCAGCAGTGATAATAGAGTGATGTGAGAGAATGAAAGGCACTGCATAAATCTCATAATTTAGAATCAGTGGAGACTTGGGGTCAGATATTTGCATGAGTTGAGATTGTAAGGATCATGGATCATGGTAGGAATGAATGTTGAATATACTTTTGTGCCATTAGGTAAAGCATGGTGCCAGTTAGAAAACTGGCTCATACAAGTGGAACCTGCAATGGGAAAGGGCAACATGCTAGTTATTTTAGGGTCTGTTTCAACCTTCCTCTACCTCTCACACACCCCTAGGAGGCTGACTTACATGCAATATAGGCTCCTTTGTCCTTGGCTTCCATTTGGTTCAGTCCATGGTGAGAAATGGTAGAACATGGAGGAGAAATCCTTGTTGAAATGTCCCCACAGGCTGGCTGTTTCCTTTCATTGTTTCTACCAGTGTGACCTTTTCTATACACATCTTTCCTCAATCCCAATAAACCTTACCAGTCCTTCTCCCTGTAGGCTTAGTGGTGTTAACAACTCAGTTGTTGTCAGACCTAAGTTACTGGACTCTGCCTTGAGGTTTTTCAACTATCCACAGCTGTATAAAGACTGCCTAACTCAAGCATTCTTAAGAGTCATCCAATTTCAGGTAACTTGAAGTTTATTCTAATTGGCGTATGTCATCTGCTTCCTGGTTCCCTGACACTGGTAAATATTTCAAGTTTAGACCAATTGACTTCCTAACACCAGTGACAAATCCATGTTGAGTCACCTAACGGTTAACTGGAAAATATGATTCTAGCACTGGTAAGTGGGATCAAGCTAAAACCACTAAATTTCAAGATGTCCAATATGTTCCTTACGTCTCTCTCATCCCAGATGAGATAGCAAGTTTACCATTGTGATTTCTGGGGAAAAAGTAAAACAAAAACCGAAAATGCTGTGGGAAAGGATAGCCAGATCACAGACCTCTCTGCAGAAGGATTTGACGATGGATGCCATTCCCTCCAGAGCGGTCTCTTTCTCTGTAAGCTTTTGTATCCCTAGCTCCTTCTGCGTATTTACCCACAGCCTCTTTTCCTTCCTGGAATCCATTCCATAACCACCCACAGGTGTTCCTGGGACCCAGGAGTCAGCAGAGCAGCACCAGCTGGAACTCCACGAGGTGAGTCAGAAAGGTCTCTCCGGAAAGGGCTTTAGGGCCGTAGGAAAACAGGGACTTTGTGGTTATGCCAAAGCTGTGGCTTGCGTCTGTTCCTACTTTTGAATTCCCCTGAGAGAGTGCTGAGAAAGAGATCTTGGGGTTATTAAAACATATATCCCTTTTCATTGTCATGTACAGAGAAATGAATACAAATGACTTGAATGAATAGAATACTTCTTTTTAATGTTTTTATATTTTTCAAATAATGAGCTCAACAAATGCAAGGATTAAATGAGTGACTGATGGTCAAATGATGGTATCGCTGCTTTCCAGGCAGTACCAGGTTGGCATGTACCCTGTGGGAACCAACGCTGCAATTTTTACATATCCATGTCTGCCTGCTCTGCTCTTTCACAACTTGTTTCCCCTCAGAACTCTGAGATGAATATCATCTGGGCTGCAATGATTTACTGCACTTGAGTTTCTCAAATTGTTCCCAGAGTGCTTCTTTGAGGCTTCAGTGTCTATTCAGACCACACTGATTGCACCCCAAAACTTAGGGTAGTAGAACTGGTGTTTCCAAAACCTCAGGCAAGTCAATTGCCATAAATATATTTTTAATGAGAGTTGCCATAGCACGGTTGTTTATAATCTTGGTTCTACTAAGGAAACATGCCTTTAAAAAACAGTGGCTTCAAATTATACTTCAGCAATATTGTCAGATTTAAAGATAGGTAGTAAAGTCCTAAAACTTCATAAAACTCACCATCTAGTGCATATAATTAGGTTAATCTGTCTATAAAGTATAATAACTATCTTGAATATAATGGATTACTTAATATTTGCATATAATTTTACAATCTACACCAGCGGAAATAAAGAAAATATTTTCTAAATATTTTGTGTCTCGGTAAAAGCAATTATAAATATAAAGCAGCCATTTTTCAAGTATAATATTTTTATTTGTAAACCCAGTTTGCTTTGGATGTATGTATATAGTACATATTAAGCAGAGTTTTTATTCACAGCTTAACGATTTTAAACATTAAACTCACATGTGTTAGCTTCTATGTGTATACATTATTAAAAGAGGTTAAGGAGAATATATTCTCATGATTACCCAAAATTAATTTCCATAAAATAATATTGGAAGAAAAAAATCTACAGATTTATTTAGGATGACAAACAGTCAAACAAGATTAACATTAAAATATTTTTGAGATTTCACTGGAATTTTCTAATGTAAGTTATCCTCCTGTTTTTGCAGAAGTTATATGACTCATTCTGCAGTCTATTTTTATAAGATATATA